TCGCCGCCCGCCCGCCGGCCGGAGAGAGTCGCTGCGGCCAGGCCTGGGTGGCCGCCATCCCCACTCGGCCTCAGCCACCGCCGGCCCTGAGGGTGCTGGCGGGCCAGCCCGGGCCCTGCCAACCCCCTGGCAAGGCCCATCATTATTTTTTTGTCCGGCGTAGATTACGAAGCGTTTCCCCTTTCCTAGTTTTGTTGTAGAGAGGGAAGTTACACGTCGGCGGGATATTTTACCACCGTCTACCGAACGGTTTCGTATCCCTGCGGCATCCGCGGGTGGGCCTGGGCCGTGAGGGAGCTGTCGTGAATGAAAGCGCTGCGCCTACGGGGAAGGTGTGCTAGCCTGCACAGCCCTGTCCGAAGGCAGGCACGGCAGGCCTTTTGGCACCTTTTAATGATCCAGCCCACCTTTAAGTGCGGAAAGGGACGTTTCTGTAGGAGAAGAGTTGTTTTCATAAATGTGTTCTACCTGGCATTTGATGACATCTCAGTTTAGCTGCTGTGTGCGTTGATGAAGTCATCAGCCGTCCCGCTCTGCAGCTCTTTGACCTCGTCTTTTGCTCTAGAAACAGCATTGTCTTCTCCTGTTTATCACCTGACAGCCGAAAGGATCCCTTAAACAGCAGTGCCCCGGGAGCTGGGACACTACTCAGTGCCATGTATAGATAACTTCATGACAGTTAACAAAGCATAGCTATACTATTTTATAAGGCTGGGCTAATAGCCCTGTTGTTTTCAGACATTTTAGTATGTTGAGAATCTGGGTGGTATATCTCCTCACGGCTTTTCTTGCTCTTAAATGCAGAGCAAATGGAGGTTTTGTCCTGGTGAAGATAATGTGGAGCTCACTGGACCACTAATGATCCAGGCTTCTTTTGTTTAAACCCAGGCCTTACCATGAAGGCAAGTTCTGAAATTATTGTATCACCTAGATTTTGAAAAGGCTAGGTTAGCCTTTTATGTTTAATTAAAAAATTGTACTCCCCAGTATAAAAGAGGTTACTAGATTAGTATAAAAGGAAGTGAATGTGGTATTAATAGGCTGGTGTTAGCCACTGCAATGTGCGCTTACAGTAGTGCACAAAAAGGAACTGAGTAAGAATTACTGTTCTTATCATGAAGATTTAGACTGCAAATAAATAAATATATGTCAAAATATGTTTTATAATGTCACTTCTGACAGGAACTTGCATAGGTGTTCTGGAGGTGGGCATTTTCCTTTAGCTGCCCCTTGCCCTCAGGATGCTGCCATTTTTTCTTCAACAGCAACAAAATTTATCTCAGAAGTCCTGCTGTACATGCTAAATAATCTTTCTTGTTTTCATTGGGGAGGGAAAAGGAGAGGGAGAAGGAGAGGGAGAGGGAGCAATACAGGTTCTAGCAAATGTTAGCATCTGTTTGTGTTCTGTAGTTAAACCCACCAAGTTAGACCATAGAATCACAGAACAGGCCAGGTTGGAATGGACCTTGAAAGATCGTTTGGTCCAACCTTTCATGGGAAAGGGAGCCTAGATGAAACTAGCACTCTGTTCAGTCGCACCTTGAAAACCTCCAGCAATGGGGACTCTACCACATCCCTGGAGACGTTCTTACTGTAAAAAATTTCTTACGTCAAGATGAAAGATGGAGAACCCATTACCAGAAATAGGCTGTTTCATTCTCCCGGTATCATAAAGTCTTGATTGTCTAGAGGATTTGTCTCAGAGAATAATGCTGTCATGTGCCACAGGCAACTGCTGCCTCAGTTTGGTTCACCTCCCAACATGTCTACAACATAAGCGTGTTTAGACACAGCCTTAGTTCCCTAATGTAGGAGAGTCACTACAGCTAAAGAAAACTCTCCTAGAATAAATTCTTGAAGAACTGCTGTTTAACCTTTGAAAGCAAATGGAATTTGAGTCAAAACAATAGTTGCCCCAGACTATAAAAGCCTGGAAGTCTGTTAGGTCCTATTCATTAATTTGCTGAGCTTTGCACTGTATCCCAAACCACTAATTACTGTCATCAGAGCCAATCCAGTTCATTTATTTTGCCACAAGCTGTCTTTTTCTTATACAAGCTACCAGATAATATTTAAGAAGTACTACAGAAAATTAAAGTCTTGACATTCATGGACTTCAGGTCAAGCCCATATACTACTTGGATTCTCCAGTAGCACTGTGATAGATTTTCTAAGAGTTATCTTACTCAGGTAGACCTTTTCCCATCTACCAATTTTTCTGAAAGAAATGAGACTAACCATAAAACTTTAAAATACATATTTTAATGTATTTTTAAAAAATATTAGTGTATTTACACAGATTTCTTTTAAAAAATATTTTGTACTTGCCTATTTTAAAACATATAGTTTAAAAAAAGTTCAGCCCGATGACTGCATTACACAAATTTGAAAGAACATTCACTGTATATATGAGCAATTAAAAAAATACAACAAAGAAACACATACCATTGCATTAACAGTGAGTGCACATTTTTAAGTTGCTAGCTTTCACAAATTGTTCTCTGCATAAAAATTGTTTAGTCTGTATCAGTAACTTTTACCCACTTTTACACTGGAATTTGCATTTCCTTTTTCCTCACAGAGAATTCCCCCTTTTGCTTATGCAAAGGTTGCAATAAAATGCATTACAGTAGTATTTCATTTACAAAACAAATGACATTATAACTTATTTCTTAACCCATTGGATTGTATTTCAGTAAAACAATGTCCTTTCATGGAGGTGCAACAGAGATTCCAAGAGCTGTCTGGATGTGGAGAATGATCTCTCTCTCGAAGCGGTCCTGCCTGGAAAGGGTGACTTGAATTGCTGCATGATGCTGTGTCGATTCCTCTTTGGAGGGATCTCATCTTCTTGTTTGGCAATTAGGATAGCATGTTAAACATTGTATTTAGTAAAAATAAATACAAATAAATTAAAAACAAATTAGGGAAGAAAATTATTTTCTTGTTGATATTGCTTGGAGGAAAGCTTAGCAATGAAGCTTGTGGCAATATCTAGATTATACATGAATGGCAGGTCCATTTATTTCAGTAGTACTCTCTGAGCAAGGAAAAAACAGCTATGAACATGGCTGTGATTTTGGAGAAAGACAGTAGTGATCTTCTTTCAAACTTTGTTAGGAAGCCATTTTCCTGTGGAAAAGAACATGCACAGTTAGGGGCAGCTTAAAAATAACATGTAGGAAAAACACACCACACTCTGCTAGTATCAGATTAACAGAGTGCTACACTGTTGTACATGGAGGAACAGGTTTTCAGAGCCCTAACTCCAAAAGATGAATTTGGAGCTTTAAAAACAATAGCTGAAAATAGCTGCACCTTGCTGAATGTTTGTTTTATCTGTAAGTGAAGACTGTACCCTCCCTGTGTAAATAGAAAATGAACATGAACTGTATCATCCTGCCCACATCTTCAAGGAAGATACAAGTACTATGTTTCTGATGTAGTGATATCCTTATAAATATCTTCCTTTAAGCCTCCTTATTCTACTATGATGAGCCACCTATTATGATAGAATATTGCAAGGAGTTGATACTTCTCTTAAATGAAATTGACTCTATTTGAAAGAGATGGGAGAGAGAAGCCTTTACAATAAATCTGATGCATCAAGGGTCCATGACGCACTATCACCTTTTTTTTACTGCTACCAGACAGAGAAGGATCAAAACAAGCAAAAAGAAAAAAGGCAAGCAAGATGTCAGAAAACAAATAAGGGAAAAAAGTAACAGCAAATAGGAAATATAAGAGAAGTGGGATGAGAGAGGGATGGAAAGAGTAACATTTACATATAGGTAAAAGAAAAAAGTACCAGGGAAATAACTGACACTGGTGTCATTGATTCTCATCTTCCCCTAACTGCAAAAGAAAAAAAGTACTGGTGTGATGAAACTCTGCAAAGCAAAAGGGACCTCCTCTCCCCTGGCAGAAGGGAGTTTCAGCAGCTTGGCAAAATAATCCACATATTGACAAATGCTTTTGTCAGCATTGACCATTGATAGATGGAAGTTCTAGGATTATCTCAGTCCAAACAGAAAAGATTTAACCCCAATTGCACTTATCTGTAAGTTTGTTTAAGTAAAACTGATTTGGGGGATTAAATAATGGCTTTGTTGAAATCCACAGCAAGAGTACTGACTTAGCTGTGAGGATCACACCTGTGTATTCTTTCCTTACCTTGAACTCCAGTGTTTTTGGACCAACTCCTCTATGTAAGCAAAATTGCTCCACTAACCTTAGGTTGCCACTTAATTTTAGATATAATAATGGAAAGTTTCATGGCGTGCATAGTTTAACCTGCTTTGAGCAGGAGGCTGGACCAGATGATTTCCTAAGGTCCCTCTCAACCTGAATTACTGTATGATTCTATGATTCAAGACTAACTCTAGGGTTTCAACTGTTACAGGTACAGAAAGTGCCTTTTTAAAAAGAAAGTTGTCTTTTAGCATTGTTCTATTTAAAGCAGAAGCAAAGTTTTCACTGTAAGTCTCAAGGAGACATTACAGAGATCAAATATTAAACTACCAAATAAAACCCTGAATAAAATGTCTTTGACAGTGTCTGTAACAATAGTTTCCCTTAACTAAACAAAATCTCCTAATCTAGACTTCAGTGGAAAATGAAAAACTTACCCAGCCACCATTTGCATCTATCCATTCGGCTTTGTTGTTTATTATGTACTCTGTGATGAAATAAGAAATCTGCTCCTTCTCCTCTCCAGTGAGCTGAACTCCATGCTCTTGAAGCTTCTTAGTGAGAAGACCTCCAAAGGTAAATATGGTCATAATTCGTCCCCAGTTAGTATTTCCATCAGCAAATTTTTCTTCCATGACACCATTGAAAATTCTCTTGGCCACAGCTACAGAAGTAATATCAATCCTGTCCAAGAATGGTCTGAGAGCCTCCTCGGTTTGATCTTGCAGTGAAGATGCAATGTTTCGCAAGACATGAGCAACCCTGGTTTGGGCTGGTCCAAGATGTGATTCCTGAAGCACATATTGCAGATAATCTTGAGCCAAGTAATAAACGTAATAGAACTCAGCAGTTTCCATTTAGAACGAAATACAGAGAGCAGTGTACCACTCTTAATGAGGGTCAGTAATGAGCAGCCACAGGACATGCACACAGCTTTGTATCATCTGGTTTCAATGGAATTTTTTTGCTTTTACCACAGAAGTTCCTGTAGAAACCTAGTGACTTAATGATTGTGTGGGTTGTGGAATATGTCACAGCGGAAATGAAAGAAAAAGTGTCTGCTCAAGGGGAGAAAACATGTCTTCTTGAGTGATTTATTATTTCTCTAAATAGTATGATTCCACAACTAAAATCTACCAGCTTTTACCACATTCTTTAGCAGTATAAATTGGCATTTGCTAGGGACTTTCGCTATGTAACACTAGCAAAGGTTTGGCATTTGGGTTACAAAATGCTGAGAATGGTGTATGCTAGCAAAGGTTAGGCATTTGGCTTGAAAAAACATGCCTAAAAAGTGTATGCTATAGGAGGATGCAGCCCCCCACCCCCATCTTCCCTCACCCCAATCTTTTCATTGCCAGGGGTGAAGGCTGCAATCTGTTTTGCAGGTTAATGGGTTATTTCTGGTTCACAACTTTTTGAAGAAACTGGTAGACATTTGCAACAGGATGGAAGAATGGATAAACTTTCTTCAGCACTCAGGGAGCTTTACATAACTGCAAAAAGTGGGAACACCACAGTGGTACAAGTATGGATGGAAAACAGGGAAAGCCAGCTTTATAGCATTATCCCCTGTTCCAGACTTTCCCACACTCTCTGTGAGTGCTCTTCAAGGTCCTTCTTTGAAGATTTGAATGGGTAGCTTCAAAGATTTCTTTCCCCCACGGGGAGTTCTGCTGTAAAAGACACTATTAGTATGAAAGACAACGCTAATGCAGTCAGCATGTCGGAACATGGAATGGAAAATATGGGCCAAGCTACTGATGTGTGATACCATCTGAATCTTTCATGAGAGGTAACGAAGAAGTATCATGATACAACAACTGCTCTTAGATTCAGATTTTCAGTCAAGCAGTTCTTTTTGGGGGCAGAAAGGGCAGGGGTGTCTAACCCACTCTTTCCTTATGAACGTCTCCTTAGGCAACCTGATCTTGCTAAAGGGTCAGGATGTGTCTGTATAGAACCTCAACCCATTGCAAAGGCTTCAGAGCAGCAATCAATTTGATGTTTGGAGACCCTTCTCTTTCTCCATTCCCCTTTCTTCATCCCTCTACTTCTTACCACCTCTCATTCATGCCTCCTCCTTCTCTGAAAGCAAAAGGCATTCCCAGCCCCACACACCAACAGCTCTTCTTTGCTCCAGGGATGCCAGTGAGCCTGTTTCCAGTCCCAGGCGCTCCCTGATGCTCAGATCTATGGAAGATGAGCAAAGCTGCATGCCTGGGGGCCAGCACAGGGCTAGCGTCTCAGATGTCAGGGTAGCACTGGCCCCTAATCATACTGGAGCAAAGTGTATCTAGACTGTAATACAGCTGTGGTGTCAGTATATTGCTAACCCTAGCCCCCCCCCAATGTGTATGCTGCGGCTCTGACATCGCAATTTTGCAGAAACCCATTCAGTAGAAGACCAGGGTAGTTTCCAGTTCCTTACCAGGTTTTTTCTTCTGTATGTGGTGAGTCTGGCTCAGAATGACACATTAGTCTTCCATGCACAGCAGGGTTTGAAATCTCAGGCTATCACCAGCATAGCACAGACATAAATCACTTCAGTGATTCAGGAAAACATTTCCCTCACTTTCTCTTGGAAGCAGAGAAAGAGGTGGCTTGGTGCTGTGTTCACCTTTGGAAGAGAATGGGTCTAGGAGGGCAGTGTGAGCTGGAGAGACTCTCATGTTAGATGTTACCCCCAGGGAAGGATGTGATGCTAGGACTGGGAATGGGCTGGGGGTGGGAAGCTAGCTCTCACCTCCTCCATACACATGCACATTCTTACCAAAGCTCATTTTGAAAGTTCAGTGGTGTCCTCTATCCAATACCTGCAGCTGCTTCTTTGGCAGAACTGTTAGGCTGGATTTGCCTTTATTATGTTCAGTGATTTCAGCAAACTGCCAACATTTTATGAGGAATGCAAATGAAAAAAAAAAGAGAATGTGACAGTCCTTAACTCTTCCCAACTCAGCTAAATCTTGGCAGAAATTTCTGGGGCAAAGAAAGGCATTGCTCTACCCAGACAGCTTCCTTCCTATCAGATGTTTGCTGCAAACAGGCCTGAGAGAAGTACTCGAGGAAAAATCACAAGAATCCTTTTTCTGTGCAGCACAGTCTGTGAAGTTGTAGATCACTCTTGACTCTCTTAATAACTGATTAAAGAAAAGCTTTTTGTATTCTTTGTGAATATAAGTAATAGTTGAACATGAGAGCAGTGAACAATACCTAAGGAGATGTTTTGTTTTCTTCGCCATGGACAGCAGCAGAGCACAGGCAGAAGCAGATATGTCTTCATTAGTGAAGTGTTTAGTATACTGAGGAGGGTGATGAAATAAGGCTATGAATATGTCACCATTTTTGAAAGAAGACAGTGATAATATCTTGGCAATTTTGGTGCAAATGCCGCCACTTACAGTCTCTTGATCTCTGAAAGGGCTGTAAGGTGAAGCTCAGTGCTCAGCTCCCAGAAGGGGGTGGCAGCTCTGAGCAGGCATCTCTAAGAGCAGGCTGTGACACTGGTGACCAGAGCTCAGGATGTAGCTGTTGAAGCTGCCCCAGGTCTATCGACTTCAGTGTTAGACACATTGGCTTTTCAATAGCATATAGCTGAGGGGGCAATTCCAAGTGTTGGATGTTTAGTAGCAATGACAGTTTATATATCTGTATACACACATACAGAGTCAGACCAGAGTGCATAGCCCAATCGTCCCAAGCTCTAATGGTCAGCTCTGAGCACTGTAAGAAATCAGCTTTGGGATCTCTTGCCTGTATTGTGCCACTCTAACATGCTGATTCTCATTTTCTACGTTAGGCACTGCCTTCCTTTCTCCTACCAGACTTTATTCGCATTTTGTAGTTGTAAGTGAATACCTTTAACTTAATGTACCTCTACTTTTCTTCCTACCTGCTCTGTCTCCCCAGTGCTGCTTAGACTGCATTCTTATACACTGCACTGCTTCTTCCTTCTTTTCCTCTTTGCTGTATACACTTTTTCTTTTATAAATGGTAAGTGTTAATAAAAGGTTTGAAACAGAAACCAGCTTGACATGGAAGCTCAAATGCAAACCCTCCCCTCGCTACCTGGCAATAGCACGGGGCTTCAAATACTTCAGTTTAAATCTGCGTTCTGTGGGTTTGACTCCACATCCTACCCTAACCTGAAAAGGCTTATTTTCCAGAACAGATGGGAACTGAGTTGACAGATCCTCATAAAATTGACTTGTGAGAGACGATGTTATCTCATCGCGTTTGAGGCAAAACTAAGCCAAAATGACAAAAGCTTCATTGAGCTATTGGTGCGGCATCTGCCTTGCCAGAGTTGTTCCAGTTCCAGGTGAATGTGGGAACTGTGAGCTTTGTCTGGAGGAACGGTCTGAGGCCTTGAGAAAATTATTGCAGAATTTTTTCTGGTTTTCTTCTCTTTTTGCTGTCCAAACCAGGGTGATTTTTGTGTGGTATTGGATTTCATTGCAAAAGAACAGCTCAGTTCACTTGTAGCTTTCCAGCTGTCCTGCACAGCCCTGATATAAGACTTCAGGAGGCTCCGGTGACTTTTATTTACCCTCTGTTTTTCCTGTAAACTGGAATATGCAAGCTGGCTTTTCTGCGAGCTGAAAGGGTTGGTTGGCATTAGATGCAGAGGCTGGGTTTGCCCAGTGGAGTGCTGCCACCTAGCCGCAGCCGGGCTGGCTGCACGCAGGGAAGGAAGGAGCCCGGCGCAGGAGGCGCAAAGCCCTCACCTCCCCGGGCCTGAGCGCGGGCGCTCGAGTCCTCTGTGCTTTGAGGTTCGCTAGGCAGCAAAGAACTAAAATACAGTAGGATTGGGGCTCAGGCCCGGTAATGATCTAAATTACTAAATGGTGTTGTGTTTCCCGGCTAATTCCGTCAGCTGAGAAGCACCTAAGTCTCCTGTCCGAAGCTTGGAAAGGTCATCTCCGTAAGAAGGTTTGGGAGCAGTTCATTCTAAAACACTTCAGCCTATCTCCCAGTGTTTCTAGGGTGGAGACGAAATAGCAGGATCCTGGATCTTAAATTCTGTGGCAGCTGAAACAGAGACTTAGAGCCAGCTTATATTCTGCGTATCTCAGAGAAGCACAGAAGACGAACTCCAGGAAGGATAAGAGGATGTAGCTGGTTTTGCATCCTCTGGGCCAACTTAGATTTTCTGGGCCAACTGGAAAGCCAAAGTGGTCCCCAGCGTGAACTAAAGCAAGAAGCTGCTCCAGCTTGCTGTTGAGCTGTGGTGCAGTCCAGAATGACTGAGGGCTGAGCAATACGGCATAAGCTCTCTCCTGTTCCCAAAATACCATGCAGCAAATGCTGGGAGGATGGATCACATGAAGATGCACACTGTGGCTCTCCATTGCTGAAGCATGAGAAGAATTCTCCGAGAGGCCATTCCGCTCCCCTTATGACTCCTCTATAGCGCTCCAGCGACACAAGGGGACTATGGGAAGGGCCAGGTTTGGCTGTGCTCCTCAGGGTTCAGCTGCTGCCTCATCACTTCCTCTGGTAACTCATCTCAACTCAGAACTTGGCTTCTTCTGGATCCCAGCTTCTCTCATCATCATGAATCAACGGGGCAGCCGAACGCACTGCTCCACTATGCATGTGCCATGTGTCATCATATGCATGTGTGTAGACACATGTTCTACATTCTCATAAGCCTTTCCAAATGTTTACCTAGGATTAGAAGAATTTGAACAAATAGTCATAGCTGTCAGCAGTGAGCCACAGAAACGTAAGGCTCCCTAAGCTTCCCAGACAATGGAGCAAGAACAAGTAGTCTTAGTAGAAGCTTAGCAAGATCTCACAGATGCCAGCAAAAGCACTGTCTGCTGAAGCCAGCTTCATTGCTGAAAATACTTGCTCCCAGAAGGAAAAAAAAATAAGAAAGGTCTGCTTGTGAGTATTCATGAAATAAGAAGTCAAGAGCTCATGCCTCAATATG